CAGCGCTGGCCTTTATTTGACAGACCTCTCCCTTAACAAACCAGGGCTGTGTACCCACCCAGATTGAAATTCAGCTTGGTTGTGCCCCGTCTCCATTTGCTTCTCCCCAGGTTGTTGAATTTGTGTGCCTGGGATGCGCAGCAAGCCCCTGGCTTGTGTCTTCCCACGTACCTGCCACCGCAGCAGCGTCACGCCGGGGCGGTTGTGCCCGTGGGGAGCTGGCTGGGTCACAGCTGCGGTGCACGCTCCGTGTCCCGGGTCAAAGCCCATCGGCTGTGCTCTGTGCCACGGCGTCAGGCAGAGCTGGGGCTGCTGCTGGGGAAGGAACAGGAGGTGTGGGCAGCAGGACTGAGTGAGTTAGGAGCATCCAGGGACGAGGGGAAGGAGCCTGCTTTGGACTTCGGAAATGGTGCCGATGCTCTGCCCAGCCCTTCCAAAACAGTGCTGGTGCTGTGATCGCTGTCCTGGCAGCACACCCGCGCCGCAGGCAGGGAGGCAGGCAGGGGGGTGCTGCTCCCACAGCACCGTGGGCATCCACCCGTGACGTCAGCTCCTGCCACGGGACCCTGGTAGGCTGCTGTCGGGGGACCCACTGGTGTGGTGGGACCCTACAGTGGACAGCGTTGCTCCCTATCACAGTGGGGAGTCGTCTGCAATGCTGGGGTCTGCAACGTGCCATCCACCAAGGGGGATGCAATGTGCTAGGCTCCTCCAAGGAGTTCCCCTCCACCTGTTCCTCCCTCCGTCGGGGCAAGCTCCCTTTTTTAATAGTTCTTCGGCACCATCCATCTCAGGCACACGCTAGGTGCCCTGTGTTCCCACCGGAAAATAAAAGAAATAAGCCAGCAATGTGGCGAGGAGGGTGATAAAAAAAAAATAAAATATTCAGAGTGGCTTTGGAAAAAAGATACATAGAGGAAAGGGAATGGCAAATTCCACTGGTTAATTGAAGCTGTCCTCATACAGAGAATCAATCTCCCTTTTCATCAAGCAGTAAGAGAAAAGAAAGCTGCTTGATACGTCTTGTGATCAAGGAATTAAGCCATGCATCTCCGAAACTCGCAGGAAGAGAAGGAAGCCAGAGCCTATTCCATCAAAGCAGAAACCACATCCAGAGAAGAATGAGTTTGCTTGAAGATAATTTTCTTTGATTAGTAAGAATTACCATTACAAAACATTTGGTTTTTTCAGTAATTGTTTCGCCTGATGCTTTGCCACTGTGCATGTGTATGTGTGTGTGTATATATATACACACGTATAAAAATAAATCAGAAAAAATAGACTATTCATTTGTGCTATTTGTTTATACACGTGGGAATAGTTCTCTCATGCTGTTGTAGCTTGGGAGCAATCCATGGACGTGGTTTTCCGAAGGGCAGCACTTACCCGTGAAGAACCAGTGCAGCTCTGCTGTTGTCCTGCACGCAGGCGGTGCGCCTCACCGCCCAGGAGAGACATTGCTAATCTAGGTGTTTTTTCAGGAAGACAATTTGGGGCTTGTCTTTACATCTGGGGCAAATGAGGTTTTGTTCTAATCTCAGTGCCTGGCTGAGGTTTGTCTGTGAACATCTGGGAGCTCCAGGCACAGGAGAATTGGGACCTGTGCTTAAAGCCTGCTGATAGCCGCGGTTGGTTTAGCTGTTGTCCGAGTGTGCAAATGAGGTTTGGTTCATAGGGGTGGCTGAGTGAAGCAAACAGTGAAGTATACACAGAAATTAAACTTCGGTGCTGAGACCATGGTAATTTTTCACAAAGTGTTTTGCTCAAGCAGTGTGATGGGGTATTTCTTGTGTTTATATTCCAGTTACAGTGATTATCTGAACTGTTGTTTTAAAGGCTAATATTAAGTACGGTTTTCTGTGAATACCATAGCTTCTGCCTTGGACATGTTTTACTGGACTATGTACTTAACAAGTTATCATTTTGCCTGCTATTAAAATCATATGTAGTATGAAAACCCATAAGTGGTTTTGGGATAGCAGTGCTTCTGAAAAGCTCAACACCTACCTACCTGTCTCTGATATACTAAGGGGAATGTGATCAGACAGCAGTGTCCTGAGTTGAAACAAATATGCTTAATAGACAACTGTAAATACGACAAGCGTTTTGCATTTTTAAAGGACTTTTTCTTTGTTTATGTAGGGGTGTTTACGTTCTCTGGTAGAGTGAAATGCATATAACCAACAATGTGTCTCTTCTCTCTTAGATTACAGAAGTTTGTGGAGCCAAGCGCGTGGGTTATTTTGGTCCTGCTCAATTTTATATTGCTTTGAAGTTAATTGCGGCAGCGCAGTCAGGGTTCCCTGTACGGATTGAGAGCATTAAGAATGGTAAGTAGCAAATTTTGCTTGCAGTGCTGTGCACTTGCTTCTCACTTTCTTTACTGCTTGTCAACTCTCTGGTTGTAAACCTTTGCTTCTAACGTGTCTATGAAACAGTTGTATTTTGAGGAGCAGAGAAAGAGTAGAGGTAATGTTATAATCTGTAAGTGACTAGTAAAAAAATTGCAGTGAATTACATGTATGGTAAAGCTGGGATGACATCCCCCTCTGGAAAAGGCATCACCAAAGGAATGGCACGAATGACAGCTGAAACAGTGCCAGGGATGCATTTTTCTCTCGCCTTCAGCCTCTGATCTTGACAGCTGCCCAGGGTGGGAGCCGATAGCTGCTTGGGGTGGAGGCATGTTGTGGGGGACATGGGCAGGTCGTGGGTCCCCCTGTGCAGGGGAGCTTGCAACGCTCATCTCTTTTAGCAAATAATCCAAAAGGGTAATGGTGACAAAATCATAATGCTTCCTATCAGTAGGGATGAAAATGTGTATTAGATGTAATTTAAAACAGCTTTGTTCTTCCCAGTGAATTGACAGTAATGTTAATTTACCATTTTTGGTGGAGAAAAAAATACCTCTTAAAAGAGGCTTATCAAACTCAAGCAATGAAGAGAGAAAGCAGGTCCCTTTTAGCTGCAAAACCTCAATAGCGACTAAATGGGAGGAACTTGTATGTTCTTGCCCTACTGATGCATGCTCTGCCTTGCTGATGCATGCTCTGCCTCAGCAGGGCTTAGGCTTCAAAACGCGTGGCTTTTCAGTGGGGCTCGAGCCTGAACCGGTTGGAACCCTTAGCTCCTGTATCCCTGGGAGGCGTTTGAACTGTGCCGTGGGGCTGTGCTTTGGGCAGGAGGCCTTGCCACCGTTCCACTGAAGGCTGCGATGCAACGGGCCACGGGATCAGAGAGGAGGTAGGAAAGGCAGGACCTCCCCGCAGCATCGCAGTCGGGTCACTGCTCCCAGCGCAGTTTCTGCTCTGCTGTCCCCGCCAAGGGTAACAAAATGTAAAATTCACCTGTGTTACAAGGCGCAGGGAAGGGAGATTCCCAGGTCTGCCCCATCCTGGGTGCGGGGAAAGCTGGGCTGGCAATCCTGTGCAGGCCTGTGTGAGCTGAGCTCCTGCGGTGCAGAACTCCTGATCAAGTTTAGGACGAGAGGAAACGGTCTCAAGTTGCGCCAGGGGAAGTTCAGGCTCGACATTAGAAAGAACTTCTTCACTGTTAGAGTTGTTAGGCATTGGAACGGGCTCCCCAGGGAGGTGGTGGAGTCCCCATCCCTGGAGGTGTTCAAAAAACGTTTAGATGTGGTACTTCAAGACATGGTTTAGTGGACATGGTGGCGTCAGGTGTACGGTTGGACTTGGTGATCTTTGAGGTCTCTTCCAACCATAATGATTCTATGATTCTAAGTGGAGGGGGTCGGATGCAACCGGCACGGTTCTGGTCAGTTCGGTGCCTTCTTGGAAGGGGAGTTTAAACCAGGGGTGAAGCGGAGTGGCCTGGATTTGTCTCTCTGCTGTCCTTATGGACAGCTTGTGCATTCTCTCTTGCATTGCTGTCCTTTTTAAGGATGTTAACTTAAAAAAAACCGAAACAAACCCAACAAACTAAATTAGGAACAGAAACTACGTGAGATTTACTGTGTGTGTTTTACAAGTCCAGTATCTGCAAATAATCCACAAATTTGAGTGAAGAAGGGTACTTGCAGTCCTTGTATTGATATCTGCTGACTTGCTGTTACTGAAATGCTTCCGGTGCTAATTACATTTTCTCTTGAAATGTATGAGTCCTTTAGAGTGGGGTGTGTAACATGTACCAAACTCGAATTGATTTTTTTTCTTCCTGGTAGTCGCTGTAGGTGTAGATGATTATAGAGGTGATGTATGCCTTTGCTCAATTTTGAGCGTTCTGCTAATATTAATTATATTGATCTTTCAGGGTGACTGTGCACAAAAATAAATGACACTTCTTCAGAATAACTGTCCATTGTCTTAGAGAGCAGCAAAGTGTCACTCTCCTGCTCTGCAGAGCAGACATGACGTGGGGCCTTTGGACAGGGTTGTCTCACCAGACCTTGGCATGATCTCTGAACCCTACCATTTTTAATTTGTTCCTTGTATAATGGCAGTGTTAAGGATACTGTGATCCTGACTGATTAATTCATCAGTCCCACAGTTTCTGTGGGAAACTGTTCTTTTCATTACAGACAACGTTTTGAAGGCAGGAAATGAGTTTGCTGCTTGCTTTAATAACGTGCACAAGGCTTACTTCTTTCTCTTTGCATGGAGAGGTTATATATTAAGCTAGTGAATGTAGCTTTGTGTAACATTCACATTTTTATTAAGACATAAAATAATTATAGGAGTTCCACACTTATAAATGTTACAAAATATAAATAGTACTCCTTTATAGATAAACTTCTTACTGCTTAAAGTACTTTTAATGTTCTGTAGTCTCAATTGAATTTTTCTCTCTTTTAACGAAGAATTGCCTCTGCCACGGTTTATGGCACTGAAAAGTGACAGTGAAGTACGTTACGGGACTCCAGCAGAACTCCATGGAGTTAAATTTCAGGTTCCGCATGCAACTTTGGAAAAAAATTCTTACAAAAGAACAGATGAAGGGGACAAACAGGTAACAGGCTTCTCTCTTCCAGATCAATATGTTGTTATGCATCCTCCTTTGGGGTCCAGCCCTGTAAATAGTGACACTAATGTGGACTTACTCAGTTTTTCAGTACTAGACAGGAGACGAACTACTGATGTGCAAATAATCCCCGTCGGGGCTGTGCTCTAATTTTGATGCATCCCAGTTGCATCCCTAAAGGGAGTTTCTCTACATGAGCTTGTATAAAGCTGTCAACCCTGTAATATTCTGCATCAGTTCTTTCAGTGTTGTCCTCCTCCTTAGTCCAGTGTAGTTTCTTGGAGATGACTAGGGGAGGAGCAGCAAACAGAAAACTGTCTGTGACACAGAACAGGAAAGCAAGCGATTTCTCATGGCTGGTATGATCCATAGCCACTACAGAAATATTGGAGAAGAGGTGTTGAATCACAAACCGCTATTTCTGGGTGGGTTAAGGCCACCAGGTTTTCTTCCCTTCTAATCTCTCCCAGGAGCAATCCAGAAGAAATTTTGCCCTCAGTGAAACATTGTCCCAGCATCCGTTGTTCTGAGTTACCAATTTAATAAAGCTGTCTAAGGGAGATTTGTTTTACCTGTATTTAGGAGAGTTGAGAGCACTTATTCAGATACAAGCAGCTTTACAGTTCAATCTTGATTTGCATAATTCTCCCCAGACCTGAGACCTTCTCCTCTGGTACCGTATCAGGTCATGTTGTAAGTACCCGGTGGCGGGCACTTTATCTTCCCGTACCGTATGCGCACATTTATCACATGGTGCCTCGACCTGAGTAACACCGTTCCCAGCCTGAGGTCAACCAACAGGAATGAGCTGATGACAAGATACACGGGTGGAATAACAGGATGAGGAAGAAGAGCATGTATGCCTGTCTGCCTGTGTGTACACTGAAGCAGAATGCTGCCCTCGAAGCCCTGGCTCTGTCTGGGTTATCTGTGTTGCGCTATATTTTCCTTTTTTGTAAACTGTTTCAGGATCACAGCCTCTTCTTAATCTCTGTAAGTCAACCAGAAGAGAAAACTTTAGGATAGTTTCCTGGTAACACCTACAAATCCACAGAGTGCTTAAAATACTGATTCAGAGATTTATTTTAATTTTTCGTAAGTTTTTACATGAAAAATGCTCGCTCTCCCACGAAGAATGCAGTCACACAAACTAAAAGTCTAGTGTAAATTCAAAGATACTCACTCACATTAAGCCTTCTACATATACTACTTCAGGCATCTTTGGAAGTAAAATATCTTAAGCTGTTCATTGTAAAGCTTTGCTATGGCATTGCCATGCTTTACCCTAGAAGGCTCAATACCAAATTCTGTCTTTTGTTTTTTAAGGAGCGTTTTCTTGGAAATAAAGGGCCTGAGGAAGCTGCAGTGTTTGCCTCGTCTTTGTCCATCCTGCTGTATGTGTTCAGATTGCTGTGCAGGGTTACTTGGTGTTTTTTTGTCTCAGAACTGCATTTTGTATTGATGTGTTTTTGTAATAGGAACCCAAGTCTCCTCCCATGTCTCCAATCTGTTCACCTCCTGCTTCTCCATCTACTTACCAGAGAATACCCCTAAGTTATGGATATGGTAAATCAAGAAGTGGGCTGGAGCAGCAGCATGGAGGTAGGATAAAAATCGGACTGCACACATTGTATTAAATTAATTCTTTTTTTTTCTTTCTCGGAAGCATCCAAATTTCAAATGCAACTGACAATCAGCCTAATGATTTTAAAGTTTAATTAGACCTGTATTTTGGAAGATGATTCAATCAACTTACTTTGATTGTTGAATCCTGTCTTCCTATTAGCTTTCTGATAAATTAGTTAGATTTATCTGTCACTGCTCACAGATAAATGCTAATACCTAAACTCTGACAAGACCATGAGCAATATATCCCAGTGGCAGAGTGTTTGTGACTATTCTCGGAGTGCATGATGCTTTTGGTTTCATTGGAGGGGAAGAAAAGCCTGCTCCTGACTTCAGTAGCCGCTGTATTAGTTTTCAGATTGGCAGTGAACCTTCCTGTGCAGGAAAGGATAGTAATCTCTCCGGTTTTGTAACGGAAATAACAATAGGATAGGAATATAAAAACAGTCCTACAATGTAACTTAGGCAAAACAGACAAAAATAAGGCACTAAAGAGATGCTCTGTCCTTGATCTCGCTGCCATTAGAGTAGGTGGCAAAACATTCTGAATTTAGTAAGAGAGCAGTGGGGCAGAAGGCAGTTCTACTAAGGCTTTACAAGCTCCTATTAATTGTAAGGTGCCTGTGCTCTCCTAATTGCAATGTCTCATGATGAAGATGGTGGCAGTAGTAGGCATGAGTGTATTAGCATCCCTCCGTCATCCCTCCTGCTTTAGTGTGTTTGCAGTGAGTGAAGAGTGGAGCGTGCTAGTCCTTTAGCTGTTGTCCTCATTTACAAATGATTGAAAAAGCAGAGCTATTGCAACCTTTTGAAACTCAATACAGCCATGATAAGAATGTGTTTGACACTATCAAGTGGCCTTCAGGTGAAAATCGTACTGGTACTGAATCACAGGCATTCATTTGCTGGTTAGGTAAACCGCTATTTGTTTGGAGATGGGATTTTTCCCCAGCCTACCCTTGGCATAACTGATCAAAACAGTGATGGTTGACTTCTGAAATAAGCAATGCTAGCGAGGTTGTCTTTTGGTACAGTGCATCTTCTGCTCCAGTGAGGAAGACGTGTGGCAGATAATGCGCACCCTGAAGAGCTGGGCGGGAGGCGGCCATCGGGAGCAGCTGACGGTGTTGCCTGTTGTGGGGTTTGCTGTTTTCTGGGACTCTGTCCCACATCTGTCAGTGCTAGGAGAGGGTATTTTGGGTGTCGTTCCCCCCTGCTCTGAATGTGGTTGCAAACATAACTTCAGTGAAATTTCTCATGGAGTCAGCAGCTGTGCAGAGTAGAGACAGCAGTGTCATATCCAGCTATCAGCTGCTTCTAAATTTACTTATTCAACTGCTTGAATTTTTAAAGTGATAGAATCCTAGAGGTATAGAAGACTATGATTATTTTCCAGAAAGGGAACTTCTGTTTTCCAGGAAAGGAATCTCTCCTATTTTAATCCCACCAGGGATACTTCAGCCAAATGTGTTCTCGGTGGCAGTAAGCAGGTAACATTTTATAGCCTGTGCTATACCAACGTGCCAGGTTGGGTGACCCACAGAGTCTTCCTGGCCTTTAAGATTAGGACCCTTCCAGATTTCTGAATAGCACTCAAAAGGGTAGGTCCGAAAGCCACGGTGTTGGGGTACGCACAGGAGGTGCTAGCACGCCGCTGCTGGGCTGGGTGGGTGTTCTGTACTGCGAGCCTGCCCCTGACACGGGGCGGTGTGGCTTCAAGGGCAGCCCTTCACACTGCAACCGTGACTATATCCTTTTTTCTTGATAGTTTTGGAAGTTTTTCTTGCTAGCAAACAGACAGCAGCGTGGCCTTGTGCTTAACTTTCCTCTCCAAGGGTGTCTGTATGTTTCCCAACTTCCTTCCTGTGCGTTTTTTTTCTGAAAGTAGAGGTTACTTGTACAGGAATAAAAATAGATAGCAATACAGGATAAGACCACTTAGGAAAGGGAGGGGGTTAGGGATATAATTTTAAAGATTTTCCTGAGCTCAAAATCTTTAAGATTTCTTGGTCTCATTTTTCATCAAGAGTCTTTTAAGTTCTGTCTATCTAACGCAGGCTGTCTTTGTAGTTGGTAAAGTTTAAATAGTCTGACACCAGAAGTTCTCAGCTCTGTAAAGGTTTGTGAGTTGCCTTTTTGTTTGCATACTTGACCTATTTTTAAAACATTGTTCCTAAATGTGCTGTTACCTCACTGCTTACTATATTTGCTGCAGTGGAACGTGAGTGACTTAATTTAGCAAAAGAAGTAGTAATTGTTACTTTTCTTTACTAACTTTGCTCCAAATAGTGTGAAGTGGCGAGTCATGCATTTTGGTTTTTGACAGAAATTAGGGAAGGAGGAAGAAGAGTATATGGAAAATTAGTGATTTACTATCTGATAACATTGTCAAAGCATTTTTTTTTTGGCAGCTCAGTTGAGTTATTTCTTCTTATTTGTAATGCATTCTTCTCCTATGCATGGCCATAAGTGTATGAAATGTATAAATACCTAAACAGGCTATATAAATATATATTTCAACATGATGAACAGTGATTTCTGTTATCTAGTACTATATAACTGACAGTTTCTATCAGTATTGTCTGAAGAATCACAGAATCATAGAATCATTATGGTTGGAAGAGACCTCAAAGATCATCAAGTCCAACCGTATACCTGATGCCACCCTGTCCACTAAACCATGTCTTGAAGTACCACATCTAAACGTTTTTTGAACACCTCCAGGGACGATGACTCCACCACCTCCCTGGGGAGCCTGTTCCAATGCCTAACAACTCTAACAGTGAAGAAGCTGTAAAGTGAAGAATGATGTAAAGTGAAAGACAAGTATGTGGCTGGAATTTTGTTGCAGAAGACAAAATGGACTTTGATACTATGATGCTAGGTTCACGAGCTAGATTCTTGCCCTTGTGGTATTTAATTATTTCCTTCAGCCTAGTAGAATCTTTTTGATTAACCTTTCATTTATATACTTAATTTTAAATATCTGTAGCTCCTTATGATGTCAGACAGTCTACTCACCAGCAAGATGGACCATCATCAGGGAATTATGGAGTCAAACCTGTACTCACCTGTTCAACTCCTAATCGGGTAATGAATTGCATGTTTTTCTTTATTGTTTTATTAGTAGTACTACTAGAGAAATAAAAAAAAAAGAGGCAGAAGAATTCTTGCTTCAAAAGTAAAAGTGTTCTGCATGGTGTTTTTAGACTAGAGGCTGAAGCATGCTTTTTTGTGTATGAAAAAGAAAAAAAAAAAAGCTGATGGGAAGGATAAATTAAAATAAATAATCCATTCAATTAAGTTGGTGAAGCTAAATAGAATGAGAAGCACCAAATAGCATAGATAGGAAAACTAGACTGAGAATCTCCAGTTCAAAAGTTTTAAAAAAAAAAAGTTATCCTAGCAAAAGTGAAACATTTTCATTTAAAATATATGAGGTTTCACAGAGATTCCTGCGTGATTTAGAATGCTGTCTGTAACACATGCACAGAATTTATGACCTAATATTTTGCGTATTCTGTTGTTTCACCCCAGTTGGTTAAATTGCATCTCAAACAGAATCAATGAATTTCTGGCTATTTGTTTGCTTTTATGCGATGGGTCCTGTGTTTTCCCGCTGGTTGCAAAAGCAGATCTTTCCGATGTTCCAGTATGCCTGCTGTGCATTTATTATGCAAACAGGTAGTTTGTCCTAAGGAAGGGCAAAGCTCTTCTAAGAGAGAGCTTTTCCTAAATAAGTAAGACTCAGAGACTCTGTACCTTTTCCTGAGTGTTTAGCTCCCTGCACCCATAATAAAATGTCACCTGAGCCTCAGGAAAAGACCTACAGGTAGTGCCACAGAGTTTGTGCTAACTTGAAATTAAGTTGAATGCATTTTTGTAGCACTTTGAAATGAAAATTAATTTACAGCTTTATGAAGTTACCTGTTTCGAGGATCTTTTGATGTATTTCAGAACCGGTGTTTTGTGTTTGATTCTTAGGAAGTGGACTGGTATGTCAGAGAAAGGGTTTCTGAGCTGGTTGGAGCCTGCTTATTTTTCATTTTTGCTCTCCCTCTTTAAGAGTGTTGCCATCCAGGCCTAAATCTTGAATACCAAGTCATTCCAGTTTGACAAAGGCACTAATTGTACTGGCAACCCTCTTCTAGACACCACCACCCAACCTACCAGACATGCACACCTCCCTTAAGTCAATCAGAAAGCAAAGGCATAAATGGATAAAATGTCCTTTTCCTCCAGAATATTCTTTTTCCTGAAGTAGGATTTTTACCTAAACCATGGGAAGTGGCAGAAGGCTGAGGAGGTCTCTAGGGGTTTGCGTGTCTCTCTGGCTTGGCGTAATGCGTGCTGAGTTACCTGGGTGAGCGGAGAGCCCAGAAGCTGTATAGCTCCGTCATTACAGCACCGCTCCTAGACTAAACATGTGGTTTCTTAGCAAAGCTAAATTTTCATGCGCCGTGCTGTATAAATAAAGCTTGAGGTCCTTTACTGCTTTCCATCCCTTTCAGCTGTACAGTGCGCAGTTCAGAGTTGTAATGCATGGCAGCTAAAATGAATCCCCAGAATGAATCCAGAGGTAACAAAGTATGGTTTGGACTTTACTTTTTGCGGTCAGCAGTGGTAAAGTTTTCTTTTTCGTTTAGCTTTCGTCATGTAAAACTTCCTTTAATTGCCTGAGTAAAGATACCTAATATTAGCCTCAGTTTTAACAGATAAGTAGCGGGACGCTAATCGGCGTGGCCGTTTCTGCTTCTCATCTCTTCAAAATATGTGTCTGCTAACAGAAGAGAGTGAATCTGGTCTCTTGAGGTTCCCAGGGCCCCCTTTGGCCCTTCTGGCCCCCCGCCTGCGACCGGTGCCAGTCTCCCTCCCTTCAGTCTCTTTCAGCAGAGCGGGAGCAGCAGGACAGCAGCACCCACTACTTGGATGACCCTTGGAGGATAACGGAGGAGCAGCGAGACTACTACATCAACCAGTTCAGGTCCCTGCAGCCTGACCTGAACTCCTTTATTTCAGGTACTTTTTACCAAACACTGTGTATATTGAGTAGCGGGAGCGGGCTGAGAGGTGAGAAGTGTTAAGTAGATAAAGGAATTCTTTTTTCTATCTGGAGCAATTTTATGAGAAAGAGTTGATTGCATTTTCTTTTTAAAAGTGGAGAACTCAAAGAGCAAACCAATACTGTGGCCATTAGGTTCTTTCCTAAATATCCCAGTTTTACAAAAAATAATTACATCTAAGGGAGAAGTGTTGGCGATTCAGTAAAGAGTAAAATGAACTCTGTATTTGGTCCGTTGTATTTGTGGATCACACCTGTAGCATGTACTGAGCTGAAAAACCCCTTAGGGTTGTGCTTGCCTTCCCAGCAGAAAAGTAGCAGTGTCCGTGTGATGAAAGTGAAGCATTCAGCTCACTGTCCTGTGTGGTCAAGCCTGAGTGTTTATGGCTCTGATGGAGTACGATTTTGACCTTTAAGGGGATTAAAAGCAAATCACTTTTAAAGCACACACATGGTAAAAGTATGGTTAGGAGCGTATTGAGATTGCGTTTCCATCCTGAACAGGAGGATCAGGCTACCCGTGAGAGGAGTCGCTGCAGATACAGACAGTTGGTCTGGCCAGGGAGATGTCACAGCTTTTAAACTGAGGTGGTTTTATTGAGCCCTGCTGTGTTACTGGAGTTCAGGAGACTCGGATCTGGCCAAAAGTTTCAATAAATTACCTGCTGCTGACAAATTAGTGTTTCACCAGTTCTTTGCCTCGGTTAAGTTTCCTTATAATTTGCTTGAAAGAGAAAATGGTTGTTCAACAGCATTGTATTTCCTCACAGCCTCATATATGTCTGTAACTGTGTATGCATGTACATATGCATATATAGCCTCTCAGGTAGTTTTGCATTTTCCTTTATGTTGAGCAAGATTCCCAGGCAGTACTTGCACATCCAAAATTACTGTTTATAAATGATAAATTTGAGCTTCCACAATGTCCTAAAATAATTCAGCTGTAGAAATCCTTGCTGCAGGGTGATACAGATGCTAGAGGTTTGTGCAGTTTTAAGAAGTTATTTGAGAAATCGGTGATGGAAAAATCTGTTAAAAGTTATTGAATATCTAAGTGCTACCCCTGGATTGAGAAAGTTCCTGAATTGCAGGTGGTCAGAGGTTGGGGGATGTTCTGGAGCTACGCTTTTATTACCTGGGTTTGTCATGGTCGCATAGTCCTCTCTTGGCATCCAGTGTTGGAGAGGACACGCTGCACTAGGTGAGCCTTGGACCTGCCCCAGTGACAGCTGTTCTTACGTACTGCAGTGGGTGATCTGACCTGAACGCCCAAGGGGAAGAGGAGGATAGAGCTAGAAGTCTGTATTTTATGCTGTCTTGTGATTTGTAAGCCTATATCCAGGAAGGGCTTCCTCGATAACCTGTGCATATGGGATGGTGAAGAAGTGGATTTGTTAGCTCGGAGAAGAGCTGTTGTGGCAGGGTGAGCGAGGATGCCTGCAGCAGGACTGGCTATGTGCTATCTGAATCTCCTGGGTTTTTTCTTTTTTCTTTTTTTTTTTCTTTTCCTTTTTTTGATAAAATTTGAGCCACTGCAGGGAAATGTCACAATTGGAGCATGGTCTTGGGAGAGCAGTGCAGATGCTACAGCACTACTGTCACACACGTGGCTTCTGGGTGAAGCAGAGCCATTTGTGTCTGTTAATTCATCATCGATGACATACTAATTATGCTGGTTAGACTCACTAGTACCAAAACGTGTTTTCCTTTATTTATCTTTCCCATATGGAGGGAATGGGGAAATGAGGTCAACAGCTCTGTCTGACTTGCTTTCACTTACTCAGTAAGAGACAAATGGTCCAACAGCTATATTAGCATCCAGTTAACCTGAGCGTCTCTCGGATGTAAAGTAACCAGCTGCTTCTGGCGTGGCAGTCCTGGCCAAAGGTAAATAATTGGAGAATTAATTTCCAGTGGTTGATAAGGCACGGTTTCCCAACAGGTTCTGTGGCAAAGAATTTCTTCACAAAATCAAAGCTGCCCATTCCAGAGCTTTCTCACATCTGGTAAGTACAGTAATAGTGTTGGGGACGTGTATCCTGGTGTGTGGTTTCTTGGGTTTTTATGTTTGGTTTTTTTTCTGTGGGTTTTTTTTGGTGTTTTTTTAAAGATGCTTATTTCAAGAGTTCTTGTTAAATTTTGAAAAGTGTCTTCAATTATAATTATTGCTCTTATCTGTGGGATCACTTTCAGGCCTGAACAGCAGGGTGCTCATTGATCTTCCTGACATGCTTGTTTTCTGGAAAGATGTTCGCTTACTCAGCAGGACTGGGAAGGTTTGAACAGCGATATAACTGAGAGCTGTTCTTAAGTATATTGTAAGCAGCATCATTAGCTCAATGTACTGACGTTTTTCGTGAAATGACACAGAGGAGAAGCACCTCTGGAATGTTTTAGATGTCATTGGTTTTATGTTTCTGGCTATGTTTTGTCAGAGGAGGCCTAATTAATGCCTAATTTTTAGTAAGTACAACTACATAATTCATCAGTGCTTTCCTAATGAACCAGTGCACTTACTTTTAATGAGCGTATTTAGAAACGATTCCGGATGGAACTGTACATAATAAAATTTGACAAGGATTCTAGTATATTTTCATAAGCAACATGTTGCTTGGTAATTCAGTGTCATCCTTGCATCTTGGAGAGGAAGAACAAACAGTTTTAAACATTGATCAGAAATGCTGGTAGAGGTTTTACTCTTAATATGCTTTTATGAAGACAGATGAGAAGAAAAGCTTGCAAGAGCCTAAACATCTGTCAGGGTCAAAGAGTATGTCTGGAATCTTTTCAAAGCGGATTGTCAGTTGTGAAAATAATAAAAAAAACCCACCACCACAAAACAATTGAAGAAACATAGTGTTGGGGGAAGGGAATATGGGAATTTAAGATCACTTAAGAAGAATGGATTAACCCAATATGTTAACCAAGCACATTTTGTTTCTATTGCTGACACAAGTTGTTCTCTGCAAAATTTAAAGAAAAGTATTCCTTTCTAGTAGATAAATAAAATTTTGTGATGATGTGATTCATCAGGTGGTGTTGCTGTGTTAAACACATGGGATGCTTCAGTCTTTGTCACTGTAACCTCAACAGCTTGAAAAATGCTCATCCCTTTCAAAGAGTAGGGAGTTATATGTTTATTTGCTTTAGTCCATGTGCTCACAATGAAATATTACTCAATTCTTATGAAGAGTTAATTTGTAAAATTGAATTCTTGAATTTCTGAAGTCCAGTTTTAGTGTTTGAGAAGCCTCCTGGAATTAAAGAGAGAACTGCTTTAGTGAGAAGTTAACAATAACATTTAAACTTGTCAAGAACATTAATTTAGCTCCTGAGGCTAGTCAATAGTGTTAAGTAACCATTGCTAAAGTCCACTTTTAACTTTTTCTACTTGAACTGGTTTAAGATCCTGTATGGATTGGCCAAAAGTACTTCCAGCCATTGGAAAGTTAATTTCACCCTTGGAAGTACAGTATATATATCTCATGTTATAGTATATACATACCATCATATTGTATGGTATGATGTGTAACAAAAAACCATACTTTAATAAACAGGTAAAAAAGCAAGAAGTCAGTATTAGAAAATCAGCTTGCTTCATCTTCCCGGAGACAAACGTACAAGTTAGGATGAAGTGTAAATGACAGAGATGCTTGCCCTGTGTTAAAATATCCCTTCTCAGAGTTGCGTTTCTGTCTCCCGCACAATTGCACACGTTTCCCTGAGGTAACGGCTTGGAAAACGTATGTCTGTCGTGCCCGCAGGGAGCTGAGCGACGTGGACTGCGACGGGGCACTGACACTCCCGGAGTTTTGTGCCGCTTTCCACCTCGTGGTTGCCAGGAAGAATGGTTACCAGCTGCCCGAGACGCTGCCGGAGACGCTGCTGCCCGAGTACCTTCAAGCAGGTAACGTCCCTGCGGCAGGTGGTGTTCCTGTAGCCATCTCGGGAACCCAATGTGCGTGTAAATTGGGTTTCTTTTTCCATCCTGCATGTAGGAGGGGGTTCTAGGCTACGTGATGGCTCCCCGGTTGCTTTTTACCGCCTGCGTTTTTAATTGTGCTTACGAGGCGATCGCTGAAGGAGGAATGTGGAAGAGCACAAAAGAGCGATGCAGAGTGTAGCAGTTACCTGCCTCTTAATGTCTGCCTCTGCTCCAGTGTGCTTTGAGTGTCCTTTGAGCTAAACTGGCAGATGATTACCTGTCGCAAAGGTACTCCAACAAGACTTAGGTGGCTTTTAACTCTTATGATGATTTTTCCCTTAAGTATCTGTCTGTTGAAGATGTGTTGAAAACGATACTGGACTGCTATAGAACTTATTGTGCTAATATATTTTGTTAGATGCAGTTACCAGTTGTATCAAAGGCTGAATTTTTTTTGTAATTCATTTTATGGAACCCACAGATTCTTCTGTAAGTAATTTACAGTAATGATGGGGGGATTACAACAGTTTGTGTAGCACAAGGATGAATTAATCCAAACTATAGCATATCTCAGTAACAATGTGCAGTGAGAGACCTGCCCTTTCATTTGTTCTCTTCAGTTATGTCTCTTTTAATTATAAATGAACAGTGAAATATATACTGTTCCATCTAAAAAATGTGCATGACTTTCTAGGGCAAGGAGGATTAATCACAGATTATAATTACAGTGCTAAGGGATAATATTTAAGACCTAATAAATTCTCCATTAAATTTGATGACACTGAACATATTAAAAGACCAGAAAAGAGCAAATCAAGTTGCAGTTAGGAAAATTAAATGTTCACCCTGTATCAGGTTTGTGAAGTAATTTCTGGTGGAGTCATGTTCCTTATAATCCACTATCTTCATATCCAAAGTGTAAAGCTCCTGTAAAACCTGCACTTCCAAGTCTTCATCACTTTTAGTCTTTCTAGTTATATTCCCTTGTCATAATTACAACTACCCTTTTCCCTCCAGGACCACCACTTTGTTCGCTACTCTCATGCTTGTTCTCTTGATAAATCAGCTTATAAGCTCCTCCATGCAGGTTCTTGTTGGTGTGTCTGCACATTAAGCCTTTTAGGGTAAAACTGCAATGGAAATAGCTATCTGTAGTAGTAGGGAATCATTACAGCAATGGGAGGAAGAGCATGGTAGGCTGTGGTTGTTCCCTGGGAGTCCTCTTTTTCCCTAATTCGTCCCTTTCAGCCCTGGGGTCTTACCATTTCCTTAGATGATTATTTTTTCATGGTGTTGCATGCAGCCAAGCATTTTGAGCTGATCTACGTGGAAGAGGTGAAAGGACTAATTGTTTGGTTTTGGGCACTCTAAGTACCTCAGCTAATATGATAATTCTGGTTAGCTTGAGGGTCTGAAAATGTCTCGCGCTCATTCTGCTACCTAATCAGGATTCAGAAATCTGTCTTTTGAAAGACTTGCATTAATAAAAAGGAGAACGTCTCAACACACTGTAACACCGTGAATCAGAAGAAAGCATAGAGCCCTGATTGTATCAACTTCTGAAATGAAAGCATTGATAAGTAAGCACGTGCCTCATACACTTACCTAAAATGTCAAAAGAAATTTTCCAGGCAACATTTTTGTTCTCATGTTTTCAGAATTTGATTTCTGTGGAACTTAGATTTATTATTTTTTTTTTTCTGGCTTGTTAGGAACCTGATGAAAATTACTGGAAACTTTTTCGTTAGGTAGTTGTATTAAGTTTCAGAATAAAGCAGAATTTGGTTCAAGTGAAATGTTTGCATCTGATAAGAGTGTCAAAGCTTCAAATACAGTGACTTGGAGCATAAGACAGAGCATTTAAGAATGAATTAATCTTGCTAGTTTTATGGCTTGTTCTGTAAACTACAAGCACAGGTCCAAATGCTGTCCTGGCACAGCTCCATTGACAATTTGACCCATCGCCTTCTCTTCTGAAAGTTTTTATTAAAACTAATTTATGGAATCTGTAAAGCTATTTGTCTTGTGTGCAACCCGCTCTATTGTAAATTAAGACAGATTTGCAAGAGCTTAATTTATTCAGATAAACCAGATGCTAGCCAGAAACTAGAAATTTGATGTGAGAACTGGTTATTTTGCCTTTCAATATATCGATCTTTAAGAAAAACTGTTTTCCAGCTGTTAAGACAGATTTATCTCAGAGAAACTAATCCCAGAGTGGTATCAGCAGAAGGACCTGAGCTTGTGGAATAGAAATGAGGTTCTTGTGAATATTCCTGTGAGAAGTTAGAGTTGATATTTTTTCCCTCCCCCCGCCTCTCTCAGTGCTGTTTAGTTAAAGATGGTAGATGCTGCAGCATCTACTGTGTTTGATGTCCTTGTTTTTTGCTGGCCTTCAATTTTAGTGTATAGTGTAGATTCTACTATACTTCTCAGTATTCAGAATGTCAAAAATTAGAGTTGAAGGTGTGGTAAGTACCCTTAACATTCCTAAGACAGCAAGGTATAAACGATAAGGCTCAGTAAGTTGATACTGGACTGTGAGGAGGAAAAATGCAAATAAACGGTGGTTGTTTGACGGTTAATCTTTACTAAGAATCACTTCTCCCAAATTTCACAATTATTTCTACAACAGAAATTATACACGCAATTCCTTTCATGGCATTGGCTTATTCAAAATACCAGATAGAGTTTCTTCATGGTGTTTGTCATCTGTGGCTTACAGGTTGGTTCTGATATGTAGAAATGAAGGGCAAAATGATGCTGGAATAGGTTTTTAAGAATTAACCCAAGACTTGGCATGTCTCTCTTTTTTTTTTTTTTTTTTTTCTTCCTTTCTTTTTCTTTCTCCTGCAGCTTCTTTGAAGCCCGTGCGTGACTGTGCGCTATTTGATTCTTATTCCGAGTCATTGCCAGGCGGCCAGCAGCCTCGGGACTTCAGTCGGACGGAGGTGAGGTGATGTACACAGGGTAGTTACCTTGCAGAGTACAGAGGCATAGGCCAGCTTCGCAATGACTGTAGTAGGCGTAACAGCAGAACCGTGAACCTCTGCGAGGACTTTAGGAGTCTGTAAGCTTCCCATGAAGCCATTTCTTCAGTCTGTGGGAAGGGCTGACAGGCTTTTCAGAAGACATTCCCACATAAGAGAGTTCACAGTAGTCATCGAGGGATTCCAGCCTTGTGCGATGTTGGAGTCTGCAGAGAAGTCCACCTTACCTGTTGGTGTCCTGTGGGGCTGGACTTGGCCCTGAGGCGCTGGAAGCCAGCGAAAAGGGGCAGAGCCCACGCTGCAGGAGGGACAGTGGCACAAGGACAGTGCTCAGGTGAAAGATCTCCTGAATCTGAATTGGTCAAAAATGTGACCCTGTAGCTCTCGAGTGTTTCTACCATTTACAGTGCTCCATTTCCACTTGCTACCCCAGCTTTGAGGATAAGAAAAATGTCTTGACTTGTCCTGATTCCTTGTACTTCGCCTCTTTGGAGGCTGAAACTATCCCAGATTTTGTACAGTATGGACATGCATAGTTCTCTTTGAAGTGATTCAGTCTCCATTTTATTATCCAGCCTTTTCATAGTCTAAGGAACTACCATCTAAGGGTCTGGGTAGGAATTACAAGGAGCTGGGAAGAGTGTTTTGAGGGAAGAATGGTGATCCATTGTAGCAATGTCACAACAGATACCATCCTTGTGATGGAAGACTGTTGCAAGCAAAACTAAATTAAGGAGAAGAGTTTATCACTGAGGTTAAAAAATGAAACTTTAAAGATCCTGTAAAGCTGAACTAGCCATGGCCACTGAGTTGTGCCTGAATATTGCAACTCTGAATATATACGCTGTGAGATTTAAGGGTTTAGTATTTAAGGTAGTGAATCAAACGGCAGACTGACTGCAAGAACAGGCCCTTCTGATGCTGCTTCCAAGTTAAAAAGTAACAGTATGTCATGGCAGCTCATCAAGGCTATTTTCCAGTTATTTCTTCCTATGCCTTGCGCTGTGGAGTTCCTGGGTCAGAGCCCAGCTGTACCTTCATCCAGTTCAGCTCAGTAATGCTGCCACCAGACAAACTCTCCTAAGCGGGTACCGAGTGTGATGTTCACTTTGGGCAATGCTGCAGCCAGCGCTTCCAGCATCCAGTTTATCTTCTGGAACTGTTAAAATATGTCACAGAATCCCAGACTGGTGGGGGTTGGCAGGACCCTCTGGAGATCCCCCAGTCCAACCCCCTGCCAAAGCAGGGTCACCTACACCAACTTGCACAGGATCACGTCCAAGTGGGTTTTGAATATCTCCAGAGAAGGAGACTCCACAGCCTCTCTGGGCAGCCTGTGCCAGGGCTCTGCCACCCTCAAAGTGCAGAAGTTCTTCCTCATATTAAGATGAAATTTCCTGAGTTTCAGTTTGTGCCTGTTGCCCCTTAACCTGGACCTGTGTGGTCTCGCTGGGTGATGCTGCTCTTTGTACAGCAGCTTGGCCAAAGTACAGCAGCCGGACTGGGTTTTGAAAGCAGCGCTGCTCTCCGGGTAGCGCGGGCTGTGCTGGTACCTTGGCAGTGTAGGCCGGTCCTTGACCGTAACAGAACAGCCTTGTCCCTTGCCTGTGACTTTATTTTGGGAGGGTGGTCGGCAGGGGGCTGCGGGATTGTGCCACAGGCCCCGCTACACTAGCACTTCTGCACTCTGTGGTTGGGTGGCAAAGCTCAACGGTCCCTTGAGAGTGTGCCTCATTAGCGTGTTGCATACGGTTTGTGATTTAAACAAACAGCAGAGGCGAAATTCAAGGCCGTTTGTGTGGAAACTCATTCGCTGATGTCAGCATGTGTATGTCCGTATGTACATAACTCCATTGCCAGACTGCATTAGGAGTCAGCTGAGTATTTGAGTTAACTCACTGCATCAGCTTAAGATACTCATTTTGAGAGAGAATTGTTTGTCTTCTGCTCAAAAACTATCATCATCCTTTTCGGATATTTTTTGTCGATAGGCAAGACCCCTGAGTGTCAGCTTCTCTTTTTCACTTGCATTTTCATGTGCATGTACAAGTACACATGCGTATTAAAAAAAAGTATAATGTAGAATTACATTAAAAATATAAATAAATATATAATTATGTATCTTTTACACACATAATTAAAAAGCTTCAGTTTATGTAACTTCTTGACTTCAGGATCTCATTCAGCGTCTCTGTGTCCTAGGGAATCCTTGTTGGTTTTGGGATACTGGCTTCACAAGTGATAACACAGATATGGAAAGTGGTCTTTGGTTATTGCGGAGTTGTGAGGAAGTTTGCTTTTTAGTATCGCAGCCTTTGGGACCGTGAGATTAGAACATTCTTTTATATATTTCAGAAAGCTCAGAAATCTTTCTTTCAGAGTCATCTTACGTTTCTTGGACATAAAATGTCATTTCAGTAACCTAACCGGTACAATTTTATAATCTTATTAAATGTCTGTTTGTTAGGCTCTTCTTGTTTGTGGTCCTTGAATGTATGTGCAGAGTAAGGATAAATCTAGGAGATGATTTCCTAAGCAATTAAGTTGTATGGCTTTTTGCTTTTTAGATTTTTCTACTGCAATGGGGGTGATAATAGTAGGAATATTATAGTAATAATTAAATAGCTGTAGAGGGTATGCAGCACAAAATGTAAAAAACCCAAACAAGCAACAAATCCCCCATTTTATGTTTAATTTTTAATTCGATTTTCAGCAGTTAAGCTTTAAGACCTCCTCTGCCTTATCTCTGCACTTTCCTCCTGAGACGTTCTCACCATACCTGCCAATAACTTGCAGGTTACCGTGCTGCCTTTGTAGTCAGATAATGTTCTTAGGGAAGAGCTGGAGCTTCTGCTCCGTTCCTAGGTTCTGCAAGGTGGCAGGATGTTCTGCAAAATCAGGGGTTTTTTTTATGGCTGGTTTGAAAAAGAAGAAGAATCTGTAGGATGATTGCCTGCTGGCTAAGCACAGGTAGTGTTTCCTGACTGTTTGACTGGTTTTGCTCCATTTCTTCACTGTCTGGGTCCTAGACATGCAGGGCAAAGCTCTCGAGTAGTTTGTTTCAGGACCTTGTTATTTTGGTCCTTTGTTATCCAAGATTAGTGGACTATAAAATCTCTTCTCAAAACTGATTTGAGAATGAATTTGACTTGATTTTTTTGTTGTTTTGTTCAACTGATGTTTTTACGTTCAGAATTAATACACTGAATGAATATCATTTGCAAGGTCAGTAATTCTTCTCCCTCTGTGAGAAGTGCAGTATTTTACTGTTGCAATTTAATTTGTAGCTTGGCTACTTGAGGAAATGTAGTTTAGATACTTGAGCACTACATTAAAAACATGACATTATCAATGCCATCAGTTATGCATTATCTCCATGTCTCTGTCTCTTTCCACCTACCATCCAAGCTATTTAGTTTAATTTCTGAAGACCATTTTTACTGCAATACAATGGAAACAGTTCTTGAATGCATCCGTAAAGAAAATAATGGCAGGAGACAGGTCACCTGAATGCTAGGCTTTGTTAAACTTACAAAACACACAAAGGCAGCTAATGTTGTGCTCCAGAATGGCAAGGGTGACTGCTTTTTATTAACCAAGGAGGTTTTGTCTTCCCCCTCCCCGTCAAGTTTTTGTCTCCCACTTTGGTTCTGGTCTGGTGTGTTCCCCCCCCATTCCTTTGGCTGTCTTCTGCAAGGTTTCTCACTGCCAAAAGCTTCAATAAACCATGTGATTCTGTACTATATGCGTAAAATGATTGACTGGGGTTGCTCTAAACTCCCTCAGAAATGAGAAATGTCACGCTCACAGTTCATTGAAATTTGTGAGAGTCATCCCATCGATTCAAGCATGCGCTGAGTTGTTCACACATTTTCAGAGCCCTCAAGCCATGTTTTCCTCTGTTGCTTCCTCAGAAGCATTAGGGAATCCCAGGTGCAGCTTTGTAAAACAGATCTCATAGACCTTTACTCCAGACTTGGCCTTCTTGAATTATTGACTTGAGATTTTTGTTTGTAGTTTTTTTTTTTTAATGTCTCCAAAATCTGTGTTTCTGAATTCATTTTTTTTTTAGACCCAATGGATTTCTGGCCATTTTTAGGTCCAGACACTTCCATGCACCCTGGAAAAAAACTGGCAGCACTTAATATTTAGAGAAGCTTGGGTTTCTGATGTTTGCTTTATTGTTTTGGTTGCAGACTGTATCCTTGTTCTTACAGATAATGGAGGTAGAATTTATTCCTTGTTCCTTCTTGTGAGCTATGCAGCAGAAGTTACAAGAACAACAAATGCCTATAAGTTGCTGATGAAATAAAGGAAAGTTAAGGAATATGACTGGGGAGAAGTTCCCTGTTTTCCCATCAGAGGCCTGAATGAGCCTCCAACAGCCGTGCTAATGAAATTTGTTTTTTCCTATCTCAATGGCTGCATGTTGAAAGAAAAGAGTAGTTCAGGGATCCGCCACCTCAGTGTGAAGACTTTAAATGCAGAACCACTGGGCTTTGCAGTACGGCTGGAGTTCAACCCTAACACAGGCGTTACAAAGAGAAAAGAAAACACAGAATGACGTTGCTCTGGTGTGAGAAGTTTCTCCTTGTGCATAGTCCTGAGCTCCTTGTGATGCCCTGTTGAAGTGCTTCTCTAACTAATTTCAGGTGTGGAACTGCTGTACCTTGAAAAGCAGTGTTATGTTGCCTTTCTGTAGGTCCTCTGTACTTCTTTGTTTGACAAAGCAAATCGTGGTGCAAGACAGAGTATCACCTTTATTTGTGTTGATCTGTATTAAATATTTGTCTCTGGAAACACATGAGCTATATCAATCAGTATAATAAATAACTCTTCTTTCTTTAAGAAGACATCAGCTGAAGAGGTACCGGATAAATCTACCCTGTTACAGGATGGAAAGAAAGATGACAAACAAGGTATTCAGATAACTTTTTTTTTCCATTATGGGTTAAATTCTGTGTGTTTTTAGTAATCCTGTATATTTGCTGACAGAAGCAATGGTATGTTTAATTTCTAGTCTGGCTATGTGTTGCCGTAGATTTAAAGAGACAACTCAATGATAGCAGCTGAGTTGAAGACAAATAAGTGGATGGGTTTGCTTCAAAATTAGTTCTGTCGTATGTGAAATGAGGTGCACCTTCTAAAATATGTCTAGTCCCATGGCAATTAATGTTGCACTTGTTATTTTAACAAAGTTGTAATTGTTATCAGGAATTTTGTAAGACTAAAGACTACATTGTGACAAACTTTGGATTTCCCTTTTTGCAGGAAATAGCAACACTTAAAAATTAGTTTTTATTCCTATTTAAAAAAAAATCCCTATTTTTTTCTTGCAAAACAAAAATTTTGGACAAACTGGATTGAAAATACTAGATTCATCTGTTTCACTTGAAATCCATCAGCAGCAAGCCATGTGAAACTGAAGTGGTCTTTTTCTTGTTCCACTCAGTAGCTTCTAGGGCTTCCAGAATTGGTGCTGGATCATCACACAGTCATTCATTCCCTTTTATATTCCCTTTTCCCAACCTTTCAGGTTCTCACTTGCTGTCCCTCAGTTGTGGAAACAAACCAGTTATGGGTATTTTGTTGCCTGATTCTCAGAGCTGTGGATTAGACATGAATTAAAAAAAAAAATACAAAAAAAAATGCCGTGACCTCCCAGCTGTCCACACACTAAGGTTGCTTCAGAGCCAGCAGACCAGGTAGTCCACTCTTCTGAATCACCTTCCACGCTCAGGTGTGACCGAGTTTGGCAGATTTCCAGTGTCCCTCATTCAAAGAAACGTTGTCAGAGTTGATGGGTGTTTGACAAACATTTTGACAAGTCAGCATATTCCAATAAACTAATGTTTTGTTGACAAGGGTTGTTCTGTTGTAAAATCTGTAATGAACCAGAGCAGTACTTGAACCTTGAAGGTTATTGCTTTGAAGTGTCTGGGGAAGATTTACTTTTTACTAAGGGAATTTTTTTTTTTATTATTTCGCTGTTTAGGTAAGGAACTTGTGCTTTGCTTTTTGTAGCTGACATGTGAAGTCAGATGGGAAGCTGTTTTGGTACATGCAGTCCTTCAGGGCTAAGGATTTGCTGTATTTATGACACAGATTCCTACATTTTCAGCCAAAGAACAAATGCTCTTGTTCTACCGTTTATTGCTATTCTGACAAATGTAAGAGCAGATTGCTCTCCTGACTGAGGAGCTCTCCCCAGAAGTCAAGAACTGGATGAGTTCAGGACTGTAGAGGCAAATGTTCCTGTATTTTCAAAGCTATACGAGTAAATTGGCTCCAGTCTATCTGTTATAATATAGTTAAATGTGGAAGATAATGTAAATAAAGCTGGATCACGAGAACCAGACTTTTCCCCACGTTTTATTTGATAAAGGCAGATGGAGATGAGCGACTTCATTCCAAGCGGTCATTTATAATACTGTACATTACGGTACATTAAAATACGCCATAGTGCATTAAGAACACCTTAAGAAAGTCATTAATGAAGAGTGCATAGGCATCAGTGGAAGAGGAATAAGCACAAAGTTTGGGAGTTCCTGAGTTTTAATGCCAGCTCTGTTGGTGCCGTATGCCATTCCTGGGGGCAGGCTGGTGCGGTTTCAGTTGCCAGAAGCAGCTGGTTTCTCATGTGCCTTGGCTTTCCAGGTTTGTATCCTGGGAGAGACAGGTCCCAGCTCTGCCAAGTGTCACCAGCTGCTGTCTTGGTCAGAGGGCTACGTCTCTGAAACAGAAGTCATCCTTGGTTTGAGGCACTCAAACCCCCAAATTCTCAACATTTGAGATGATTTGGCAACTTGGGCATAGGCCTTTCTGTTCTTCACTTTTGTGCTCTTAGAAATTGTTTCTGTTTTGAGTGCTTGGGTGTTCTGACGGTATTTGGCTACTTTTCTTTTCAAGTGCGTTTGGCGTTATTAGATGTTCTAACCATTACCGATTTAGGTGCTCCTTTCTCAGAGCTGATACCTGTAGATTTTTCCCTGCACATACTTAAAGTAATTCTCATTGTGGTTTTTTTTTATTTTTTTATTAAGCTCTTAAAGTAAGCACTGCTCTCAAAACGATACCAAAGGAATTTCAGCACTTGACTGTGAAAACAGGTAAGAAGTAAAAAATGTCATGTGTTACTTCCATTAGAATTTTGATCAAATATTTTTATATCATAGTAAGCCTAAATTAATTTGATTAATGTTTTTAAGATCATTTTGCTCTCATAGTGTTTTACTACTGAAATTAGCTTTTACCTCATAATGACCACTACTTACAAGATAAATATTTATTACTACTTCAGGTTGTTGAAAGGTTTTCTTTCTTTCTTTCCCTCACTGTTAGTATTCTTCACTGTAGGAAATTTTTTTTAAGGAGTCTGAAGTTTTTCTATGCCACAAACAAGATGCAGGAGCACAAATATTGTATTTCTTCATAAATCCTCTTCTAAAGTACAGAATAACTATGTAATGTTTAAGTACCTATTCTGAAATGGCCTGTTTCTTTGTGAAAAATGAGCTTTCATATTTTCTATCAAGGAGTTTAAGGGTGGGATAGCCCTTTGGAAATACAGACCTTGTGGCACCTACAGCAGTGACACAAGCTTTTGATTTGGGAGGGTGTTTCTTTGTTGAAACCACCCCTGATTTTTCTTTCTCCAGCTCCAACACACACTCCTTGTTCCTATCAAACTGGAAAATGTTATTTCTGGAACAGCATATGTCAGAATTACTTAGTTGCTCCGGAAGCATCCCATGCATTCGGTTCAGTTCATCAGACCTCCCTTGCCTTCCTCTTTGTTCATCTGTTTCCTAGAGTGGTAAGAGTATTTGCAAGGCCTCTCTGGTCCCAGTCAAGCTAAAATCTGGACTCACTTTCTTTTCCTTTTGCATAAATATTTTTACTTATGAAGATATCCTTCATTAAGAAAACTGACCCCACATGTCTGTCGCAGCAGTTTTGTCTGATAGCTCGATTTATTCCTGACTGCTCAACAGCTGCATGCCTCATTTCCCAACTTTTTTTTTTCTTTTCCCCCTGGCTTCTTCCCAAACACTTGGCAGCTGCCAGATTTCCTATCTTCAGCTCCTATTCTCAAATGATGGCTGCTTCTCCTTCACACACATACACTCTTATGCTTCCCCCTCAGGGGGAGAGGAGGGTGGTTGCTAGACTTCCAGTCCTGTTCTCCCTCCTGGTTTTACCTAGGAGCACCCCAGGGATTTTTATTTTTAGTTCAACAATTCCATCGTTGATATGCTTAGGAAAAAACCCAACAACCTACTGTTCCCTGCACATCTCCTTTGCCACCAACCTCTTTTCCCCATGTCCTTCATCTCCTAGTCAGGGAGGTCTTTGCGATGTTGTGTTTGTATACCAAGGGAGATGGTGGCAGAGTTTCACCCCTTTGTCATGACTCCTATCACTGTAGGGCTTTCATCTTTACTGTCCTGCACGTGGAGGGTTTGAGCGAGCGCATTCTCAGGTTGCATGATATGATTGATGTTAGAAGTAAAAATGTTTATCCAGTGGGCTAGATACAGCAGAGTAATTGAGCGGTTATTTCAGAATCGGTCACCATTCTGAAAGGTCATTGTAATCATTAACCTTCAGGATGAACATTCCATTGGGATGAAGTGGGAGAAATTTTGCGTGGTTATTCATGTGGGCTGTTTATGTAAATTCAGGAAAGATGATGCTGCTGTCCTTCATTATGGGAGAGTTTTCTTTGCTATCAGAAGGACTAGAAATTTGAAATCAGTAAAAACTTCATATGCCCAGCATCTCCGAATATCTGGCCAGTTTATTTAGGCTCCGAAGTGCAAGATCACCGTTGGCCTTAGACTTCTAAAGGATTGAGGACCAAATTTGCAAGGTTTTAAATAGTAAATTTCTACCTAGGCCACCATGAAGAAAAGAGTCAGTGGGGGTGATTTAGACTAGTGGGGGTGATTTAGACTAGTGGGGAATTCTTTGTTTTTTTTCTTTAGCAATGTGGCATACTTACACCTTCTATGGTACGATATTCCATCCAATCTTCAGGCTGTAAAGCAGAGAGGCACCAGTTCTGTATGAGGCATTAGGCTACAGCCCAAAGTTACTGAATCTGCATCCTCTGGAGTGTTAATATGAAGCTGTATTGGAAGAGGGGTGTGGAAGCTGTTAAACACCCAAACCCGGCACCTTCACACTCTCCTGTGAATGAATAAATAAGAGTTCATGATCATATATGACTTCACGTAGTCCAGACCAAGCTGTTCAGTTCATCAGGCTCTACTACTCCAGGAATCATACAAACGTAAATAATAAATGTAATTAATTTACTCAACAGCTTTAACTTTTTATCAGTTTCATCTAAGTTAGGCTTATGTATCCACAGCAATAGAAATATGGAAAATTCATGGACTGGATAAATAGTTTTGTATTATCTTGAATGATTATGTCGTGTCTGTGTATAAACCTGCACCTCAGACACAAAGTACGCACAAACTGAGCGTGCCAAAATAACTGCACATTTTATGGAAATCCTGCCACAATGATTTGTATGTCCTAATAATGAACTACCGGCTTTATGATTTTTTTTTTTAATATTATACTACTTCTTTTGAAAGGTAAAGCTAAGTCTGGGTATTGTGTAATTGTAGCCTTGAATTTCCTGATTTTTTTAAAAGCTTGAAAGAAAATCCTTGGCAGTAGTGTTCTCCTGCTGTAATTTTTTATTAGTAGTCATTTCGGGTTTGTCTCTTCCTTGTGTGCTTTCCTGTTTACCTCACCAAGATGTCCTTGGAGAGTTTGAATGTCAGTTTTACCTGCAGGTTTTTAGACAAAAGGCTTTCTAAAAGAAGTATGAACAGAATTACAGTCTCCATAAAAGAAGGAAAATTTGAAGGTTCTTAAACATGGCTTAGCTTGGAAAGGATTTATACTTCCTATTTCTAAGTGGCATATATTTAATAATTGTGCATGTAATTTAATAATCAGCAATTTCATCATTGGAAAAATTGGGTCATATGGCTGTAGGGAAGCAGTGTCTGAAGTTGTATTCTCTGGGAGTTTGAGAGAGGGAGGAGGGTTATCACCACGGCATATTTTGATAATAATTCCCTCTCCCTCCTTTAGCTGCTCGGAGGAGTTTGTTGCACAGAAGTCTGGAATGACTGTGAGCCAGTTTGGTGGTGACAATAACCTACGAAAACTCCGTTTATAAGTGGTCGTTTGTGTCACCGCCAGCTGCATTTGAGGTTTTTCCATCCAAAGCACCAACTAGCACTGCGTGACCCTAAAAGCAGTTTCTTTTATGAAGAAGTAGTGCGTGGCTATACACGTGCCATACTCGTCTTCTGTGAGCCTAAAGCCTCCTCGGAGGGTCTGGGCAGTAGTACAGTGCCAGCTGTTAAAAAGTCAGTATTTGCCAGCTGCTGCCACATGCAGCTACCGCACGGAGCTCTTGCTCCGTGTTTCGGAGGATCTGTTGTATTCTCAGGTAGTGCTGTATAGTAGCTGGTGATAAATGTCTGACTTGGAACTAGGCATATATCTGAAGGAAGCGAGAAACTGAGATTTTTTTTTTTTTTTTTTTCCCCCTCCCCAGTGTACTTGCTTCTTTTAAGTGTTGTACCTTGATTAGCAGAATAATGGGGAAAAGTACGAGGATTCACTGCGTGTGTGCATTGGGATCATTGAAGCTGCTGTAATACCTTGAGGATATCTCAGTGGGCTGAATTTGAAAGCAATCACACAAATATGTTTTCTCAAAATTATCTGATGTTAGTAAGGAAGGTAACAGAAAAGTCACAAAAAGACTATGTAAACCAAGGAAGAGCCTCAAGGAATTACCCAGGGAAGATAAGTCAGCAGTGGTGTTTTCCTATCATGTAAAACCGGCATGTGGCAGGATATTTGGAATTCATCCAAATAAAAGAAACAGATTTTTACATTGCTAGAAATGTATTTGGCCGACAGTAAGCCTGTACAACCTGCACATGTCTTTCCTTCCTGATGCTGAAGCAGTCTCAACCTGATGTGTTAAATTTGTTTTATGGGTGGTAAGACGATGTTGTCTATACTAATTAGTTGAAGTATTTAGGAAGGACATAAACCTCTGTGCTGTGGGCAGCAGGACAACTGATAGATATCTGGACTAGGAGTAAGATATTTTCTGTGGCAAGTTTATGCTGTTTCTTGTATTGCTTTGTCACAACTACATCCAGGAGTACAGGTCAGAGCTGTCAGACCTATTGCTTTTCCTGCCTTCTGGTAACCAAATTAAAATTAAAAGGTGAAGCTCTGACTACATGGGGGCTTTTGAATTCTTAGGACATTCATACACTACAGAAACAAAGGGGAAGGAGAAGTGAAAATCAGTCCCCATTGCTCACGTAAGATGAGCACGCTCTCACATCCACATTTGCAACACTCACATTTTTAATGAACCCTGATTCTGCAGCTAAAGGCGTTTATGTAAAATATGATGTTTTAGCGGTTCTATTTTCTTTTCTGTTCCAGCTGCTCAGGAATCTCATGCACTTAAAGCCAGACCACGATCCAGGTACTGCTCTCATTTCTATTTCAGGAGAAGATATATGTTCCTCTGGTGTTACACACAAGGCATAAGAACTGATGTTGCATTGTAAAAATTATTTTTAATTGGTGTGGTGCTGGAAGTACAGCTCAGAGCAGACAGAGTTACTGGGCAGGGATCTGTAAGCTATAGAGCCTACGTAAGTACTGCCCTAGGGCGCTGTGATTTCTGGCCATAAGGCACTGGGACTTCCACCCCATTGCGGCGACTGTTCTCAGGAATTTTGTGCTGTTGAACCCTTCACAGTGGTTGCATATGGAGGGAGACACTGGAGGCTCCCACAGAAACAGCAGTAGTAGCTCAGCCCTCGGGCGCAGGTGAGTGAAGCCTTTTGTTGGCGTGCGTGTACTTGACTATGGCTGGTTGGCGTGCAATGGAAGGACTTACGGACCTACGCTGTTGTGCACTAGAAATGACACCTGCTGAATTCTGATGTTTGAAAGAAAAGGGAAACCTGTGCCAGAAAATACTGTGTATAAATGGATTACGTGTTGGGTTTGGCTCTTCACCATTCTGCTATATAGCCATATTGTGCATTCACCGTCAAACTTTTTTTTTTGGTGCTAGTTAGAGGGCTGCTTTTATTTTTAATGAGGTAATGAGAGTATAATCAGGAGCTCCCTCCTTACAAGCGTGTCAAAGCCTGCTAATAAGACAGGATCAGCTATAACCATGGTGAACAAAGATTCAAATCCTTCTGTTCTTAGGACCTACATTCTGGAAGGCTGAAGTGTCTTGCGTGCTGTTTTTCTGCTGCTAGCCAAAGCTTTCTAGTTTTTGTATGGTTTTAATTTTTCTTGCTGTGTTACTGAATCATAAATTGCAAATGTGCAAAAAATACTTTATGTAAAAATGCATAAAACATCAAATGCTTAAACAAGTTTGAAAAAAAGTCACTTGAATTTGACTGCTGCATCACACATGACTGTCTCGCGTCTGACTATATGTCACTGCTTCAATGCAGAAGTTGAGACTAAATATTCCTGAGCACATCCTTGAATTCGGACCTTCTGCTGTGCCTGGAGGGCTCTGTAACTTCAAAGGTCTCGGTCTTCAGGTGTGCCTGACCGCCAGATGCTACAATTCGAGTCCGTTACAGCTCTCCGCTCTGGAGCCTGGCTTTCTAGCCGAAGCCGTGCAGATTCTCAGCTGCTGACTCCTAACTGACTTTTAGGGGCCATGTCTGCCTGCTGCAAGCAACGATGCACTGTCACAGGGCTCTGTGGTGGCACTGCTGGGGCAGGCGTATTTTTGCCTGGTAGCTGCAATCTTACTCGATCTTCAAAAAAAAAAAAAAGAATGAAAAATCTCAAATTGTTAGGTTGTACAATTTTAATGCAGGTAAAATATATGCTGAGTAATAGGGAAAGTAAAAGTATAAAACCTTAAGATCCTGATTTGAAGCTTTCCCATTTATTTCAGGACGGTTGCATTAGGTCTGATATGATAAGGCTATGGGATTCAAAACTGTACCACGACAAAAAATTCAGCATCAGCAGAGGTTTTAGTATCACATGTAAATTTTGAAGTGATTATGGCTTTCACTGCTGTATTTATTAAAGTTTACATGAGAAACATAGGGTCTGCATTGCCAAATGCCTGTCCCGCTAAAGAGCTATTTTCTAACAACCACCTATTTGGCAAAAAAAAATGATCCGTTTCCCATTAGTGGGAGTTATTTCTGTTCTACTCGAATGTGTTTTTGGTCTTGCCTGTCGTGCGTGATGTGTTACAGTAAGTGTAACATCTCACATTGTCAGTGCTCATTTTGAACAAAGCTCTCAGTCTTGCAGAAAAACTGGTAACTACAACAGCTGAAAAATATTGGACGCTGTTCAGCAAAATCAAAATTCTTAGCAAATGCACTGCATTGGGATTAATGTAATGTGGAAGGGCCTGGAAAGATGTACTGAGCCATGTATTTGATCAGTTTTGGTCACTGTGGAGCCATTCAGTTTTTCTGCGTTTTGTGGAATTCGGTGACTATTTGCTATGAAAAATTTATTCTAATAGTTAGAATATTATAAATTACAAAATATGTACTTGCAAGAGGTAGGTTGAAGCTACACCTATGTAAACACTGCCCTTGCAGTTGGGAAAGGCAGGTTTATTCAAGGTAGTTGCTACAATTATCCTGTTGATAGTTAAAGTTAGGTAAGGAGGCCTGAAGCTGTGGTATAAAAGGCCTTAAAAATGCTAGCCCTGTAAGCATGACTTGTTCCTTTCTCCAGACGCTTAGGTTCCCTCTGTTGCCAAATAAATCTGTTTTCTTAAAAGGGAGCACTTTTAGTCATTAGGGCAAGGAATTTCAACCATGAATCTGAGTTCTGGTCAGTGCGTTTTTAGGTACTGTTCACTGTAGTTGTTTAAAATGACTTTCTGAAATAAAATATTTTCTACCTTTTTTTCCCTCTCTAATTTTTCCTTAGGTCTTATTCTAGCACATCAATAGAAGATGCCATGAAAAAGGGAGAAGAGCCCCCTACACCACCTCCAAGGCCACAGAAATCACATTCCAGAGCTTCCTCTTTGGATCTTAACAAAATATTTCAACAAAACACACAAGGTGAAGTTTGCTTTCTTTACCCCTTTTAAGAGCATTTCGGTTAGCTGCATACTTGGCAACTTAGATCAAGTTGCACAAATTTGTTTGTGCAAATGCTTGACAGTACGTGCATATGCTCGCCTTTGCTATAGGCAATAATACACTACAGAACAGAAGTAGTTGCACTTTCATGGATTACATTGCCACTGAGGGGGGGAAAAAATCACTATTGCCGTAATTAAGGTGATTATAATGTTTTCTGGCACGATATTGAGAAGCTTAACATATGGTAGTCTTTCATCAGTGACTGTTTATAACTAGACCGGCTGTTTAGACAACTCTCATCAGTAACTACAATACGTTTTATTTTTGTTACTATTTATTTCTGGGAGTTCAGAAGCAGGAAGAAAACCCTTAATGTTTAAACTGGGAGAAAGCAAGGAAGCGTTTTTGATGTTAAAGTCTGCCATATGCGTGGGGGCAATCAGAAACCTTTCTTTGAGTAGAAGGAAAGGGTAATTTCTTTTGACACGGGTGCATGTTGAGGGGAAAGAAGGCAAATGTAGAATAGTAGCTGGAGTAGAGTGAAAGAAAATGGCTCTCTAGCACGTTAGTAATTGAGCGTTCCTCTCGCCTTGGACAGCGAGTGGTGGGAAGAGGAGCTGTTTGTTCAGGGCAGCAGTCACCCGGCATCGCGGTGCTTTAGCGGTGTCCTTGAACCGGGCCAGAGCTTTGTGTGGTGCACACCAATCATCTGACTCAAGGACTAGGTTAAACACGGTCATGTTTATGCTTCCAAAGAAAGCCAAGGTTTGACTGTGTCAAGGAATGTTTTAACTGGGCTCTCTAATGTGATTGTTGGAGTAGAAAAGTTTCACCTCTTGCTATATGGGACTTTTTTTTTTTGTGCAAACACCAGAGAGAACTCAAGAGTTCTGCTATGTGTGTTGAACAGTGAAACTCAATAGGAATAAACGTTTTTATTTTTTTCTACCTTACATAGAGAAGCAGTTCCTGATTTGTGACTGTGGTTCCTGTTCAGAGATCTGTTGTGTTCAATTTTACATCCATTATACATCAAAATAAAACCCCAAATAGAGACAAGTACACATTTTGTAAGACAGCAAATCCTCTCACATTCGAGATAAAAAGTCTAACTGGAAGGAAATAAACTTGGATTTAAGTTTCTCTTGGAACACAAATGAAAGGAGAATGTAAATTCTCAAAAGAAGTCATTCTGTGAATGAAAATTAACATCTTGCTTTTGAAAAGGATCGTTTTGAAAGTCACCATTACTTTTGAAGTAACATAACTGTTTCTTCTGGGCAACTTAACAAACTGACAAGTGTTTATGATGAGTGCAGGAAAGGATAATTCATCCTATCAATACTTTTTGGAGGGTTTCCTCACTAGAAATGGGGCAATTAACTAAGAATAGGCAGTTGATTGCTAGTAAAACACAAGAAAGTGCTTTCGTCACCCTAAAACTGTTCATCATATTTGGTTCAAATTTACGGCTATTTATAGTTGGAACAAAAATTGGCTCTAGGTTGACAAAACCCTGAAGTATAGTGTGCTACCAAATTGCAGAAATGTGCACAGTCTCCCAGGGGTTCAGCTTCCCCCTCTACCTGCAGGGTGCTGGCCTGTAATTTTTTGCTCTGGTGGCAACACTAAATGTTTGTGGTGGTGGTGGTGGTTTTCCTCTTCTATTTTGTGTCAAAAATGTAAATACTTGTGAAAGAACAAGGAGGAATTTGTAGCCTTGGAGGGTTTAAGGAAGAACTTAAACAATTTGTAGTCTAACCCAAAGAAGAGTTCCAGCTCAAATAAATCTGCATCATCAGAAAGAGGGGATTACATGAACCCATCCCAGCGTGCCCGAGTACCTTGATGCATTTACCTTGCTCTGCTTTGAAGTAAAATGTCAGCATTGGAAGTCATATTTTCAGAAACGAGTGCACCCTCTTTCCTGTCATTAAGCCCTCAATAGTTGTTATGCTGCAAAATCTTATTGATAATGTGATTTTATACAGCTGCTTTCTTTTATTCCACTTCTCTTGTTTTGACCACCTGACTATTCTTCATCCTTTCTTTCATCCTTTTCCCTACTGATCTTTCTTCTCAGTAGAAATTCCAGTCTCTTAATTTTTGGATACCTTTTTCATCTAGAGACAGTTCTTCCTCAGGGAGTGGTCATTGTTTCAGAGCCAAACTCTTTATCAAGGTGCAATTTGCACTTTTTAGAAAGATGTTTTTTAGGAAGACAGAGGGATTGAGCACTGTCACTTTAAACCAAAGAGCCTCACTGAAAAGTGTGTGCATGTTTGTGTGAAGTAAATTGCACACAGTTGTATAATAACAAGCTATATTCTTATTTCTGCTAACAGTGTAAAAAATGAAGTTAGAATAGTTTCCATCTGCCATCAGAAGATACAGTTACAGATTTACAATATAGATGACGTGATGGCAATGTACTATTTAGGTTTCTAGGCTATTGGGATAATACAGCTTGGCATGAATATTGAATCTGATGTGTTTCTGTCCACAGGTCAGTTGATTTCTTTCTGTCTGAATGCACTCTCAACTGAATTTTTGCTTTACATTTTCTCCCTGCTTTCCTTCCTTCCTTCCTTCCTAGGTTTTCAAAAATAGTCTCATTGTCACAGCTGAACCACAAAAATTAGCTGGAATGACCATCCCTTCTAGCACCACCGTATTGCCTAGTGTCAGTACAGAAAACCAGACTGTAAAATCGACCATTTTAATAGCTTTCAGGGTGTTTCCAACATGATTTAGAATAATCCCATTTTGGTAAATTCGTTTCTGTCCTACTAATTCTTCTTCAGAAATAATTCTGATTTTGCGAGTTTGGTGGATAATCTATTCCCACACCTGCAAAGGAGTGCTCAGTAGGACTGAATTTTATTTTTCAATTCCTCGTAGGTCATGTTGATCTATAGGTATTACTTCTTTAATTGTAAAGCCATCAGTGGTTTGGAGCATTTTTTTGTTTATTTCATTTTGGGGTGTGTTTTTGTTTGTTTTACATTTACTGCTGCTGTATCATGTTTACTGCCATCTTATGATGCCCCTCTCCTGGCCAGTGTACACAGAGAACATTCATCCATGATGACTGGGATGGCCAGCGATGCTTTAGCCACAGAAATTGTGCTTTAAATTTTTTGAATTGTGACATAACTGCACTTGAAGGAGGCACCTTCATTCACACTCCATAGCTGCACTTATCTGGGATGCCGTAACTAGTGTTACCCAGGGAAAACATAAAAAAAGCAAGAGAACTTATTGAAAGGCCCCACTCATTGAAATGTCCGTATGTGAATTCCTGTTACGAGATGTCAAGAGGCAGAAATCTCTTCTTTTTCTTTCTTTTTTTTAATGAGGTAGTCCTTACGTTAGCATCTGAGAAAAATTCAGTACTGCTAAATTCTCAATGTATTTCTTTATGTTGACTATATAACCTCTGGCATTTGGCCTATGTACGTATTAAGAAAACACATGGTTAGGTTTTATACATTCCCAGAAAGACAACAGCAGGTTTTAAGTAGAAACAAAAATGTCAGTTTAAATGCATACATGATCTGGTTTACATCTTCATTTCTTCTCTGGCCCACTGTCTAGTCGGATACAAGCCAAGAGTAAAGACTTGGGAACCTGTGGCCCACAAAGCTTTCCTGCACTGTCCACAAAGGTCATTTGCAGAATTAGTTGCTCTCTGGGGCTCCTCGTGCTCCCTCGCTGCGACCTGGGTGAAGGAGCAGGTATTGAGGGGGCCAAAATTGGTGCAGCTGGGAGGTCGGTGATCCTGCAGCAAGATCCCCAGCTCTTTTACCCTCAGCAGCTGTAAGCTAGGGTTTGCCTCGGAGTAACTCTGGGACTGGGGCAAGTCCCAGCTTAAGTATTAAAACCCCCAAATGCATCCATTGACTTCTGGCGTTTTGCTCAGTTACATTTTCTGCACACAACAACTACTGAAGAATTTACTTTTGGGCAATTATAGGCAGTGACAGCAGTCTGGGTCTTGTTAGACTGATACAGATGCCTCTGAAACACATTTCATTTCCCATTTAGTTTCATTTCTGAATTGCGTAGCTTCTTTTAATTAACAGTTCTGTTGAACAAAAGATACTTGTTTGGAAAAGAGAATTTGCTTTGATGAAACAACGAAATTGTCATAAACAGCATAGCTCCGTGCTGATATGGAAGGAGATTGAGTATCTCTGTAATTGATCAAAACAGCCATATAACTATTTATAAATTAATTTTGGACTGAAGGTTTTCAGCACTCGTTTGCTTTTGAACCTCCCCCCCCCTCCCCGCTGCAGCTGTCCCTGCGGTGAAGAACATGGAGAATGCAGGCACCATTTCTTATGTCGGCTTGTAAGCAAATACTCACTGTAACCTGGATTCGCTCCTTCAGGGGTGCTGGTTCCAGCCAGCAAGGTGAGGCTAGTAGTTTTGGGTTTTTTCTCCCTTTTAAAATGTGAGGTGTTAAGCACCACACGTGGTAAGGAGGAAATACAACTAGGTGTTTATTGTAAGGGCAGTGTTTCTGTTATGGGTGATGTTTTCCGAACTGCAGTCTGATCTGTAACCTCTACTTATCTCTGCTGGGCTAGTGTTGGCTGCCAAACAAGAAAACATCCCCTCTGCTCTAAATGTAATGTTCACAGAAAAGGAACAAGGGAACAGATTTACTGGTGTGCATCAGCGTTCCCATAAGTGATATAGATGTGTCCCCGTGTCACTTGTGTATTCCTTCATACACACGTTTCCCACGCAGTTTAAAGTGGTACTTTTATCGTAAGAGTCAGTCAGTACAAACTTCTTTCTGCATCCTTTCATTTTTGTTAGTGCTAGAGGAATACTGGTGTTCAGCATCACATTTTATCCTCTTTTTCGTACCTTTGAAAAAGACTCTCACTTCCTTTACTTCATCAAACCCTCATTACTTCATTCAATTAACACAACCTTTCCTTGAATGTACAGGCTTGGTGGAT